TGCATGTGGGATCCGAACCCTCGGGCGGGAGCACCGCCGCGCTTCCCAAGCAGCGCACTATTCAGTGCGCCACTGGGCCGGCCCATGAATGTATTCTTTGTTCTATCTCTCTGAGACTATTGATCATAGAAGATTTTTTTTTACTTTTATACATTTATTTTCTTCATTTATTAACCGTAAGTACCTAGTTTCCTCCCAGGAGGCTTCACTGTTAGCAATTTTTTTTTTTCGTCTTTTCTGTGACCGGTAAGGGGATTGCAACCCTTGGTGTAGTGTCATCCGCACTGCACTCAGCCAGTGAGTGCACCGGCCATTCCTATATAGGATCCAAACCCGCGGCAGAAGTGTCGCTGTGCTCCCAGCGCCACACTCTCCCGAGTGCGCCACGGGTCGGCCCTGTTAGCAATTTTTTATATATCCCACTAGAGCTTGATTTTCCTGCTCAAGGGGAAAAATTAAATTTAATCTGGGTTGGTATTCCTATTCATTTAATTCAGTTTGTTTTCCATATTATTCAGAATAAAGTCTACATCCTTAACATGACTCATGAGGACCTAGATGATCTGACTCCCTCCTATCCCAACTCTTTTACCTCATCACCTGCCATTCGTCCACCAGACACACTAATCTTTTCGCTGTTCTTGGAGTTCATCAGTGCACTCCTGCTCCAAGACTTTGCCCTGTGATGACCTGTGTGTGGTGTGTTTCCCCACCTGTAACTGTTTGGCTCGCTTCTTCATTCTAGGTCTCTGCTCTTCCCCCTGCGACTTCCCCACAACTCCCATCACTTTTTCATTGTGAAGTAAACTCACATTCAGAGAAGCAGATAATATGTACATGTACAGTTTAACAGTTAATTATACAGTGGACAGTCCTGTGACTCTCTCTTACATATAACACTGCCAACACCCTAGAAGGCCCTGTGTTTGCCTACCTGATCACAACCTCTTTCCACACCTATCTAGAGAAAACCATGATACTCAGTTTTTCAATAATCATTTTTTTGCCTTTCTTGATAGTTTTGCCACCTTTATATCTAATTAAGAATTTTTAAAATTTTATTTTCTTCCACTTTCTGTATTGTTTGCTTTCCTCTGAGTTTCTTTGTTTTTATCTGTTTTTTGTGTTGGAGAGTTTTCTCAAATGTCTTAATGATCCTTGGTCATTGATATTTGAAAGTGAAGCAAGAACTATATAAAGCTGATTAGAATCTGAGTGGGGGTGCTTTTTAATTTTTTATCAGCAAAAATTAGTTTTATTATATAATAGGTCACAAAATAGTTCTATTAAAAATTACTTTCAAGAATAAAATTTTTCAAAATATGTTCATGTACATTAGGGCAAAAATTTAAAAATTATTTTTTGTATATATTTATGTTAATTTTTTTTGGGGGGGGGTTGTCCTTTTCGAGACCGGCTGCACCGCTCTCAGCCAGTGAGCGCTGTGAGCACACCGGTCATCCCTATATAGGATCCGAACCCGCGGCG